GAGAAAGTGACTTGTTTTCGGCCGATTTTCATTTTCGTGAGAGATGAACCCACATGAGCCGATTTCGATGGCAAGCAAATTAGCAGTGTGTCCGGAGTCTCGAATGTCGTTAATCAACGGGGTGTACTTATTGCACTTAATATTATGGGCATTAGCAATGCCCGTCTCAAATGCGGACAGAGAGTTCGACAAGTGTCAGTGATTTGGATTAGGAAAGTATAAGCATATGTCAGGGATGAGGTTGGCAGTGGTGCACTCCATGGGACCATTGATGTATGAGGGACATTCGAGGCACCGGAAACAAGGTCGCAACGGACCGAATCAGGGGGAAAGTCCCATCTTTAGGGTATCAGACATATATTTGAGAATATTGTTGTGGCGCCAAGTATATCTCCCTTGGTCCAGTGAAGGTTTGCAAAAATTAAGAATGTGATGGAAGGTCTCTCGGTTCCCACAGGAAGGGCATTTATCTGAAATCCCTTTCCCTCCCCTGGCAAGGTTAACCCGAGTATTGAGGGTATCTCTGACGGCGTTGGAGAGAATAAGAATGCCAACTGGGAGATTGTAGAAGATAGATTTCCAGTGGGTGGATTGATCTTCAAGAGACACAAGTTCATAAAACCTTCCCTGGACCAAGAGAGTTTTGACGTGGTTATCCCAACATTTCTGAACTTCTGCCTTCAGTGTATTTTTTACTTTTTGGAGGGGTAAATTATTGTTCTTGTCCAAGGCGTATTTTGTTAAACTTTCAAATTGGTTGGTAAGAGAGATCTTCTTCCAGTTCCCTTTTCTTTCAACCATGGAATCAAGACAATGGTTTACCATCGCACCAGACTTAATTCTGGAAGAGAGATGCGCAATGAGATGGCATTCTTTGTAGAGAATTCAGAAATGTTGGGAATGTCAAATCCCTTGGGCATCAGTGAATGAAGGCCATAGTAGCACATCTGGGCATGCCAAACCATGATTTGACGAACCTATTGGACAGGGCATCAATCTTTTCAAGCTGGGTAGGTGATATCATTCACTGTAGGATGGAATCTTAGGCTAGTCAGAAAATACTGCGAGTAAATTTTCAGCTTGAATTCCGGCCTAATAAGGGAATCATTTATTTTGTTGATGCCCTGCCCAATAAGATAACACAAGTAATCAAATGCATCGGCATTCCTAAATGTAATGATAGAACCTAGAAATTTGTGTGGTTCGACCTGAACCGAAGGGATAATATTATTCCCAAGGTTGTATTGAATATTGGTAGGCCTCCCGCGGCACATCGAGAGTGAGCGGCAGTTTGTGGTTTGAGCTTTAGTCCCATGGATTTGCTATGAGCCAGAATTTTGTTTATTAATCTCTGGTGTGTTCTTTTATTTCTTGAAATGAGGCAGAAGTCATCTGCAAATGGTGTAGTGATAATGTTAGTGCCGTTTAACTCGTAGCCACAGGAGACCTCCAATTGGATGGATTGAATCAGTGGGTCGAAACACAGCAAAAATATAATGGGGGACAATGGGTCTCCCTGGAAGATGCCTTTAGAAAATTGGAAAGGTTCAGAGGTCCAATCTTTTGTATTATCTTGCCAGAGAGATTTGAGTAGAGGTTTTTAATGTAGTTTTTAACTATAAAATGGAGGGATATGGCTGCGGTCAAGTGCGTGGTGGACAAGAGAATAGGAAACACTTCCAAAGGCATCCTCCAGGTCAAACGAGGTGATGTGGACGGTTTTGCATTTGGCTTTAGCATGCCTGATAATTTCATGAAGAACTGTAGAAAAAGGCTTTCTGAATGTTAGGATTGATAAGTGAATTTTCAACTATGAATTTTTCAAGTCTTTGAGCCAAGATTTGATGGAAAACCTTCCCTATACATGATGTGAGAGCTATCATGCGGAAATTTCCTGGAATGTCGGTTTCGCCTTTTTTGTAAATAAGTTTAATATTGCTTTCAGTCCATGAGGAGACAGGTGCTCCAGAGTGCAAACGTTTGTTGTAGATGGTGGCTAATATATGTTGTGTGCATGGCAGTTTCTTCAGGAGGGCGTACGTTATCTGATCTGGGCCAGGTGCAGATTGTTACTTTTCCTTTTCTGTTGTTACAGCGTTCAAATGACTCAAAAGTGAAGTTAATATTTTGATGGAAAGAGTTAAGTGAGTTAAGTACTAGTGGGACATCGGAAGGCTTAGCTAAAACAAGAGTATCATCAACGAATCGAACATATTTCAGTATATCATTGGCAACAAGATTAGTAACAACTTTTTGTTCAAGTTCTGTCATAATAATATTGGCTAGGACTGGGCCCAACGGTGAACCCATAGAGACGCCATCAGTTTGCTTATATAATGTATTATCACGAATTTACCAATTTGAACACTTTTTATTATTTTTTTTCATTTAAATGTTAAAAAATACCAACAATTTAATGAATAAATCAACATAAATCATGCATTTATTAATACTAAAATAATTTGTTGCCAATTTCACGGAATCGTAATCACAATTTTCCAAAATTCAATCCGGGTATTGCAAACCCCGCAAAAATGAGTTGATGAACATCAAATTATTCTTTTTTTTTTCTTTTTTTTTTAAGAAAAAGTGAGTTCTAAATCATAATTAAAGGGTTTGGATGGGGTTTGCAGTGTGTTTTTGGAGGTTTGTGGTGTATTGGCAAGTATTTTTTTTAGCAATTTAGTTTATCATTGATTTAATCCATGACAGCTAACTACATACTGCGAAATGCCTCTGAAAGTCCCCAGTGGTAGTTGCCAGGTTATCAGAAATTTTCATTTCAAATTTTGCGAAAACAGTGGTCTATGGCTTTAACATTTCCTGCACGTCCGCCGTTCAAAACTGGCACCGAATCAGTGTATAAAGATTCCCATCAGAGCCAATAATAATAATAATAATATAAATAATTGGTCGCTAATAATAATAATAATAAATACTTAGACTTAACAGCCACCCATACAGAAAAGATCTATTGGTCCGAAGGGTCTTTGGTCCGAAGGCCCGTTGATCCGAAGGTCTTTGGTCCGAAGTTCCTAATTTTAGTTGGGTGAGTGCCTTTAGTCCGAATGCCCGTTGGTCCGAAGCGTCTTTGGTCCGAAGGCCTGTTGGTCCGAATGTTCCTAATTTTAGTGACCTACAAAAATGAACTTGGCTACTTAATCATGTTTATTCTGAGACTACAAATCTGTTTCATATGGCCAGCAGGGCTGGCCACACTCGTCAGGTCGAACTACAAAACATGAATGGCACAACAAGATCATGCATATTATAATTAGGTATAAAGTGAATTTTAGTGACCTGGTTTTCCAAGAATAATTGTTATTATATTTAATGAAACCGTTTGTTATGTCAGCATTGTCAGTTGGGCTCTTTGGTCGCCTTTAATTTAGAGACGTTCTTGACCACTCTGAATGTGTTTTTTATCTGCTTCCTTGAGTGATTCTTTATTTGTATATTTTTATAGGGCCTATTATGTGATGTTTGTATTATATGATCTATGCATTTGTTGTTGGCTTTAAAGAATACTTATATTTGATTTATACATATATACAGTGTATATATATAGAGAGAGAGAGAGAGAGAGCTTAATAAATCAAACTACAAAAATGAACTTGGCTACTTAATCATGTTTATTCTCAGACTACAAATCTGTTTCATATGGCCAGCAGGGCTGGCCACACTCGTCAGGTCGAACTACAAAACATGAATGGCACAACTTAGGCCTACAAGATCATGCATATTATAATTAGATATAAAGTGAACAATACATAGCATGTCTAATTAGCTGATTATATAGAGATTGTTTATATTTGTTTATATCAGGAAGATAATGGCTTAGTTATCTATGACTGAGTAAAAATTTCCTTCTATGTCTGCATGTTGATACTAGTTCATTTTTACTGTTAAGTGAACATAGCTCAGGATGACATATGATAATGAATTTCTCATATAAACATAAATTACATCGTTTAGTACGGTATAATGTTCGAATACGGTTTGCATTGCTTGATGATTTTCCACTTTATAGTGTATTTAATATTAGAGTCTGTAAGGGTCCATATATACTTGCTTAGTTCCGTGCTATTTTTATGCTTTGCGTTTCGGAATGAACTTGTATGATTCCTATATCTGGTTTTGAACTTGTTTTCAGTCAGTCCCACCTCTTTCAGGTTGTCCTCCCTAATCACAGTTGCTTGGTACTCCTTCCATGAGACATTTTCCTGGGAGCGGGCATTTTTTATTGCGACAGTTGCATCCGTCAATGTTACTTTTAGTGTTTGTGCCGTTTGTTTTTTCATTTGCCAGTACTGATTTATTGTGTGCAGTGATGATATTGTTCATGCTAGGCATAGAACTATAACTGAGTTTCAAAGTGTTCCTTTTGAGTATTTTCCTGAGCTGGTGGCCTTTGGGGAAACATTGGTCTATTAGAAGTAGAAATTTGTGTCCGATATTTGTTGTGACATTGGCGCTATATGGTGGATTGAACCATTATGATGTTTCTTTTACGCGATTTTTCTTGGCTGGTTGTTCTTTGGTGGTAAATTCCAGTTGGTGCTCATACCCGCTTTTCCCTAGAGTTTCTTGGTATGGGGGTATAGCGGCGTTGAATGTGCCCACATCAGATGATATATTTGAGAGTCTCAAATATATAAATTTCTACTAAGGCAGATTACAACCGTTTTATTTGTTTATTTTATTTTGTCACTTTGCCTATGCAGCTTTATTAATTTTTAAATTATATTATATACTTGACAAAAATCAGGTTTCGCAAATTACTGTAATATACAATAAACAAAAGCCCTAGCATGTAAAAAATTACGTTTTAAAAGGATAGTTACAAATAGAGTTTCCACAACACAATCATATTTATTCATTTACATCACAAAACAAACGAAGTGTAGCTGTATGCGATTTTTTTCCCCGTACGAAACGTTTGCATGAAACTCCACTCCGCTACATATAGGATTCTAATAGGGCGCCCCCTATGCCGTAGTCGGACCTCTTATAGCTTGCAGAGGTTCTATACGCCCGTAGCAAAGATTATAATAAGTACAAGCGTACAAGTGTTACGTTTTGGCGATTTTACTGGTGTCAAGGAAAACATCGGTAACCCTTTTCTCTATTTCACTTAACTCTGGTTATTACCCTATCATTACATTAAGACTAGGCTAGCTAAATATTAGCCTAGGCTAGGCCTAGCCCTGCTTCTTCTACTAATTAATAATATGGCTACCCTCGCCTCTTACTTAGTCATAATTAGGCTCAACCTAAGGCTAGGGTCTAGGCCTAGGCTAGGTAGGCCTAGGCTCCCTAGCCTAGACCTACTAGGCTAGGTAGGATAGTAGGGCGCTAATGCACTTTCGCACCTAACTTTTAATTCTTAATTTTTTTACTTGAATTTTCTTCTCACAGTTACAACACTTAATTATAAAACATTTTTACATGATTCAACCACTCATAAAGTTCATTTTTTCTACAAAAAGATACCTTTATAAATATAGGTTGATACAGGGTTTCCGCGCTTGCTAGCACGACGAGCTGTACTTTTTTGCAATCAAGTAAGAAATTGCCAGAATGTCCGAGTCAATTCTTAAATTTTGAAACCATTAAAGGCCAGTCTTATAATTTTAATTGGAATTTTCCCATGAAACATCCGACAACAAAATGTGGCATCGTGCAGTACCATCTTTTTTAACTTTCTTGTCGTAATCGAGGTTAATCGAACCGACATTTATCATTGACTTTAATAGTTGTTTTTCTGGATTTAGGCCTAGGCCCTATTTTTCGATCTGTGTACACATTTGGATCATTACTAATTTTTGAAGTAATTATTGTACGTGTGAATTTCATGTGAACACACATAGTCAAACAACAGCACCATACAATATAAAGAATGACATACAATACGGCAAATAGTTTTCATAAACGTTTAATCAAAAAACTTCACGCTGCAAACTCAGAGACATTCTGACAATTTCTTACTGATTGCAAAATGGCAGCCGCTCGTCGTGCTAGCGAACACAGATTCGCTGTACTTATTTGTGGGCTTATTTGTTGAAAAAGGTACTTTGTGATTGGTCAAATCATGTGAACATGTTTGTTAATTATATGTTGTGACTGTTGAGAAGAACATTGAGGTAAAAACTTTAAGAATTAAACTTTTAATTCTTATTTTTTTTTACCTCAATGTTCTTTCACAGTCACAACACCTAATTATAAAACATTTTTA